AGATTTTCTTGAACACCAAGCCACTTAAATCCTTGGGAGATGTGCACTTACTACATTGCACAAGGGCTACACAAAATGGTCTCTCTCCATTTTTGTGTTCTTAAAAAAATTAAGAAATACAATCCCTTATTTGGATGGTACTTTACAATTTACAAGTTTTCACACACACCGTTCACTTACACTGTATCTCCTATAATCTTCAGAGGAAGCGAACATTTTCCTCACTTAACACATGAGAATACTGACCCTTGTCCCAGGTGACATTACTGGTAATGGTGGTATCGGAAATAGAATTTGGGTCTTTTGAGCCCAGTGTTCTTTTTCTCACATACCAGCCACACTTCAGCATTAGAGATTTTGTTCCAAAGCATTTCTATTACTTTGCTCAGAAAAGAACTTTAAAAACCTAGTACAAAAATTCACAAAAGATAAAATTACTTGCCATCCAAGCCTTACCGGTGGTACACCTGATTTCTGAAGTCCCCAGAAGCAGGCCCTGCGTGTTCAGCACCACATAGGTGGGTTCTACACCATACACAATCACTGCCCCACAGCTTTCTGACCAAATCAAGTACATTAACAGACAGGCAGGATAACACATTACAGAGACCTGAATAAATGACCTCACAAAGTGCAACAGACCTTTCTGAAAGCCTACCTGAGTACAAGCTGTTCCATCCTCTGACTGGGAACTGGTAATGGAATATTAAGAAGCCAAAAGGGAGATTCCTGCTATGAAACTAACAACACAAAATACTGTAATTTTAGAAAAGTTTGTAAAAGATGGCTGATCGGCTATGTTGAAACTATCAGTGGTTAGAAACTATATATTGAAATCTTAAAAATCTAAAATCCATTTGAACTTTAAGAAGTTGGGGAATTGCAAACACGAATGGGCAGAATGAATCCGTACACCTAGAGTCCAACAAAAATATCCAGGAACATTGGCCTATTGAGAAAAGCATTGCAACGTGATGACTATTCAAAGTCTTCCAGTTGGCATTCTGAGTTAGGACTGTAGCATCTTTTTTTTTTTTCTTTAAATGTGCTTGTTTTATATGAAAAGGATTTTAAAAACACAACATACTAAGTATAAGCAAATAAGAACCTTTTGGGGGCAGTTAAGATTAAAGAGATCGATTAATGTTCTTAATTGTAATCCCTGAATTCAAAACATATACTGAACATAGGTGTTCTTTTATTCTTGTCTTTGAGGCAACTTTCTAATTCTTTGGTAGCACTAGAAGCTCCCAGAATCTGTTAACCAGATCTTTAAGTAAATAACTTCCCAGCACTTTTTAATGAGTCAAAAAGAATCCCAAGTCTTTTTTCCAAACCTGTAAGACATTATTGCAAACCTATAAGACATTATTATCAATCAGCAAGATGATAGCAGGAAAGCAAGAACTCCGGTCTTGTTCTATGTAGACTGGGGATAAAAGAAATCAAATGGGAATCTCATCACTAAATTATCAAATGAGGCAAAGCCAATGGTTTTTTACCCTAGACTTATGCCCAAGATCCAGGCATGATGCTAATGACACCACCACCTTGGATGCTGTGTCATGTTTGAAACAACTCAGTTCTCACAACCACCGAGCAGCTGGAGCTAACAGGAGATGCATCTTCTCCAATATATTGTAGAGCTTTCCCTATTTAGAAAACACCGCAGTACCAATGTTGAAATATCAGGACTGTGGGAAAGATTTAAAAATGCATTGTCCAATAGAATGGGAAGATGAAAAATCACGTGCTTCATATCAGATTTTCTTTCACTCATTCAACCTCATTCCTTTCCATATGGTTCAAGAGGCAAAGGTTATAGTCTGTTTATTCAGTACTAGTACAAAACAGAATGAATCAACATTCTTACAATATTGTAAGACTAGGATCACTCCTAATACTACTTTCCTTTAGTTCCTTCCCCCCTAATTTTAAGTCATCCATTCCTTCAAGATGCAGTATGTCAGCATTACTGAAACAATATATTGTATCTAGAGATTTTCTAAACTTTGTAGGGAATTGATCTATAAGCACAAAGATAGACTCTACCAATGAATTTTTGTGGTGGTTTTTTTTTTTTTTTTGCTTTAATTATACCAAAAATTGTTTCTAAAGGGCGCTTGGGTGGCTCAGTGGGTTGGGCCTCTGCCTCAGGCTCAGGTCACTATCTGGGGGTCATGGGATTAAGCCCGCATTGGGCTCTCTGCTCGGTGTGGAGCCTGCTTCCCCCGTCCTCTCTCTGCCTGCCTCTCTGCCTACTTGTGATCTCTGTCAAATAAATAAAATCTTAAAAAAAAATTATTTCTGAGACTTAGTGTAAGCTAATTAGGTATTTGAAAATTGAGTATTCTTCCTCAACACAAATAAGAATAACCAATAATCTTTCTCATTTAAAAGATAGTAACATCATCCTTTATTGTTATAAAACAATATATAAAGTAAATTAGCCTGAAAGCTATGGTTTGTTTCCCACTCAGCAAAAAAAGTGTAACTGGTAACAAATAAGGTGTAATTTCCGTAACTGGGTATTTTTGAAAAATTTTAAAGCTTTCATTCATAAAAGAGTAAAAAGCTGTTGCTACATTTTTCTAGTCAGCTTGACTTGTCAGAAAATTTTACATCAATATTGACAGTCTTAGTTCTTCCTTTTTGCCTTATCATATACTCAAACTTAAAAGGCAGTTACTTGGGCACCTAAGTGGCTCAGTCAGTTAAGCATCTGCCTTTGGCTCAGGTCATGATCCCAGGGTTCTGGGATTGAGCTCTGAGTCAGGCTCCCTGCTCAGCGGGAAGCCTCCTTCTCCCTCTCCTACTCCCCTTGTGTTCCCTCTCTCACTGTGTCTCTCTCAAATAAATAAAATCTTAAAAGAAAAAAAGGCAGTTACTCACATTAAATTTATGTGTTCCTAAAAATGTACAGTAAGTTATATGGGCAAAGGTCCACATTGCATTTGGGGGCTGGGGTGGGGCAGTAGAGAAGTTATTCCTCAAAAGCAAAAATTCTGGTGCTAAGTATTTTACTTACCAATTTTATTCTTTCACAATCAAACATATCAATTTTAATCCAATGAGCATCCAATTTGCCAAATCTCTTGATTTCCAACCTTAGTTATAATGATGTTTTCCCTTTTCCTAGTACTTTTTACAAACTGATAGCAAAAATGTAATAACCAGCGTGCCTGGGTGGTATAGTCAGTTAAGCGTCTGCCTTCGGCTCAGGTCATGATTCAGGGGTCCTGGGATTGAGCCCCACGTGGGGCTCTCTGCTCAGTGAGGAGTCTCCTTCTCTCTCTCCTCTGTGTGTGTTCTCTCTCTCTCTAGCTCTCACTCTCTTTCAAATAAAATCTTTAAAAACAAAAACAAAAAGTGTGACCGCTGAAATCGAACTTCTCCCATCCAAGTACTAACCAGGCCTGACCCTGCTTAGCTTCTGAGATCAGATGAGATCTGGTGCATTCAGGGTGGTATGGCCATAGACTGAAATCAAACTTCTGACTCATAGACAATGCTACCATGAGCTAACTTCAGTTATTTGCCTACTAATATAAAAAAGTAATATAAAAAACTTATAAAAAAATAATAGGCAATTATGGGGTGCTAATTTGTGAAAACTGAATATATAAAAATGGAAAATTGCCTGAAGTAAACAAAATCAATATAAAATTTTAGAGTTGGAAGGAAATTTAATAGTCGTCTAACCAAACTTAATTCCTGGATAAAAAGAATGAGGTACAAACAGATTGAAACACTTGGCTAAAATCACACTTCTCGTGAGTGCCAGAGCTAGAACTAAGTTGGGTCTAGTATTCCTAGTCAATTATTTTACATTACACAATACTCATAGTTTGGAAATTTTATTATTTGGAAATTTATCTTCAACAGATCTTTGTTAGAATTATAAAACAACCACAAAAACGTTCAAATTCTGTATCTATTCTTCCTTCCTAGCTCATGTTCTGTTGAATAAACAGTTAAACTTTAGAAGAATAAGTGGTTAGGACCAAGGAAATAGACAATTTAATTAAAGTGGATAAAATAAAGATCTGATCATAATGCTTTCCTTTAATTCTGAAATAGGTTGATTTCAACATTAATTCTTAGATATTTTTCACTCACCTTTCAGACTTGCTTATACAAGGTTGTGTGGTAACAGATCTCAAGATGTAGAGTTGATTCAATGACAAAGTTCATTTGAACACTTCCTTCATAGCTACTACTGCAACCATGAAATCAATTTCTCTCACAGGAGGTTTTAGTTTCAGAGAGCTCACATACATAATAATCTCAATCAATGAAAATAATAGGCAGCTTTCTGTTTATTCTTTAGAAGAACTACATCTCAGATGGAAAGTAAATTAGGGAGTAAAGCAAAAGTTAACCCAGGATAAATTTTTTCACTGACAGGAAACATCAGTTCATCATTTCATCAAGAGATCTACATTATAATGTATGGCATATTTAAGACACAAAACTTGACGAGATTTGAGGTGGCCACTTACAATGAGAGCTTAAAGAAAGATACGTTAAAAAAAGACATTTTATAAAAGGGATGGGAAAATTAAAATTGCAAGGCTAAATCAAAATAAAAATCTGAAAAGTTAAAGCATATTTGTTTTTATTTAATAGTGATCATATGAATTATAAAGAAGAAAAGGGATATTAGAATGGAGCTTGGGTAAATGTATGCATGCTATGGTTAAGAATAAACATTGTTCTTACATATTATGGTTAGTGAGGACAGTATCAGTATAACAGGGAACTGTGATAATTTAAAAATATGCAGAACTGATTTAATCTGTACTTTAGAAATAACTTGAATATAGTGTTACACGTTGAAAAGAATTCAGAAGAATAACTAATACTAAATATACACTTGTGTATAAGAATTCAGAAAAGGCTGCAATCTGTAAAGTTAATCGTTTGTATTAAAAATGACACAAATCCAAAACAAGATGCATGTTATATAAAAAGGGACATTGTAAGATTTACTTGCTCCGTTAAATCCATGAAATTTCCTTTTAATGAACATTTAGACAGAAACATGCAAATAGTCTTAGGTTCTACTTAGAGACTTCCCCAAACCCACTAAGGTTACAATATCCCCCTTTCAGCAGCTAAGCAGGTATTCGGGTAGCTGCTTCCTCCTCTGCATCAGCTCGGTTTGCATTAATTTCTGCGAGTGTTCGGCCGAACCGTGCCCATTCATCATTTCTGGGGACAGCAATCTGCTGTTAAAAGAAAGACAATGTTTTATGTACGCTGAAATAAAAGATCATCTTACCCAATATTTCAGTTTGTTTTCAAATACTTTTTCCATTAAAAAGTAGTAATTGACATAAATGGTCTTTCCATAATTACAGAGACTATAACAATGCTTTACAATACATTTCAAAACAAAAGATGATGTTTGGGACGTGTGTTGTGACAGCCTCAGAAACGCTTTTGCTGTTACCACCAACAGTAAAAGAGAAAGTAACAATGATACTCTGCAAATATAACTCCTATGCACTATTTCATGGATTTTGCTGGTGGGGTGGAATTCCTTAAAATTTTTTACTTCTTGCACTATTCCAAATATGAAATAGTTTTTGAAGCATGCTTCAAAGGGCTGGTTTCTTATGAGCAATTTATTTTTGTTTGGTGCATAAGATAACCATTTTCAATATCTTAATCCCTTCATCAGAAGGTACATTATGTTTTACCACTTTAGTGATCTACAAATAGCTAAAGGAGAAAAGAGGCTCATGATGTTTTTGCCTCCCTGAAGCATCCAATGACTAAAACTTTTTGATAATCGTTGTCATAATATTGGAGAAATCTCAACACTGCCGAATTAAGGCACAAACCACTCAGTATAGCAAATGAATGTGCCTGCTTCTTAATCTACCATATTAGATTAGATTAGCCATATCCAATATGGTAACTACCAGACACATGTGACTGTTCACATTTAAATTACTTGAAATAAAATTTAAAATTCAGTTCTTTCGTTGTGCTAGCCACATTTTAAGTGTTTGATAGCCATATGTGGCTAGTGACTACTGGATTAGACAGTGCAGATATAGAGCAATTCCATCTGTGTGGACAGTTCAATTGGCTATTCTAAATGATTCAATCTACCTCCCTCCAGACCCAATTACTAGAGGCCACAGGGAGTCCAGAGGGGATGGGGACTCATAAGGCATAGCAAAAGAAACAGTGACCAAGGCTTCTTTTAGCCAGGGCTAAAAAGAAGGAAATCATCCCTGAACATCACATAGAGCCAACCCAAATACTAAAGAAGACACAAAGATGCAACTCATCCTGCTGGATTCAATGATAATGGCTTTCCAACAAGGTTCAGAAGTCAAGATTCACATTTCACACAGTCATCAAATAACTGTCAAAGATACTACTTTTGATTTCTACTACCTGGCCCAAGCAAATCTAAACATATAGAAAAATAAGAACTTAAATCTGTAAAGTCCCGAAGTCCGTAATGCAGAGTCTATAATTCAACTGTAACTCCAAATTTCTTCTTCCTGAAAAGTTTCTAATCTCTAGTAATTTATGCTTCAAGAAATAAGGTACTTCCAATATATGATATTATCCTCAAAATCTGTTGTGTGGGGACACAGAACATCCAATTTAGAAACAAAATCTTAAGAGTTGCTTCTGTTGTGGAAAAAGTTTTATCTTTACAACCATATGGTTTATACACCTCATGAACCTTGAAGACTAGTTTTAGCCACAAAGATACCGTAACTACAATGCCCTGAAAGCAAACAGATGTATCAAAATTATAGGCAGTGAGCCCCATACCTCTCCCACATCATAAATGACAATCTGTCCTTCAGAATCACCCACAGCAATCTCTCTTCCAGAATGGGTCCATCTTACACGATTAAGAGCAGGATTACCCTCCACAGAAATGCTGGCAGTTGGCACCTGAAGTCATTTAAAATATAGTGCAGTTAAAAGTTTCATCAAGATTTCTATAAACATGTAAAACAGTAACTCTTCTTTCTTCCAATCGGGCTACATTTTTTAAAACAAAGATGAAAATAGATGAAGAATTTTCCCAACTTTCTTCCTGTTCAGTGATACATTATGAATGACATTACAGTCAATCCTTGAAAATGGTTTGGGAAAATAACTTAAGTTCTTATATAAGAAATTGTCACATGACTGGATACACACATCATTTTGAAAGATCTTCTCCTTAATAAAGGATTCTTTGTTGTTATTTTAACTTTTTTAAGAAATCAAGCTGTTTGAAAACAGATGGACAAAACCCCATTTTAAAGAAACATTTCAAAAGCCCTCATAAACAGATTATGGTTCAATTTTAGAGGACAGAAATTACTTTTGTAGCTTGTGACTCTGTCAGCTGAAACCTGTGATTTGATCCACAGTTCCTAGAAAGAGTTCATACTGAAGGTGCAGTCTGGGTCTTGCCAAAGCTCTTGTTCCCATCAGCTGCCTAGAACAGGGTAGGATGACAGCACCAAGACAATGGCACCCCCCCTCCCCCTGCCCCAGAATCTCCCTGTACTTCTCTTATGCTGAGGAAAAGAGATTTATTTGCCACACCCAGAACAAACAATGTCTGACTCAGACTGGAAGCACAAAAAAATTTTTGAAACCTGATTAAAAATAATCCTTTTAATTGACATTAGTCATCCCCCAGATGACTAATTTAATTCCTAGAATGCCAAAACCGTTAGAGAGAAAAACTGTAATTTAGATATATTTTTTGAGTTAAGGATTATAGGAAAGACCCACATTTAAGTATAACCCCAAATCTCAAACACCAAAATCCAAACTGAAAAAATACAATTGGTACCATTTTAGGTAACTATAAAAGTATAATTAATCCCAACCATCTAGTCAGATACTCTTTCTCCTAGAAGAATCTGAATATTCCTCCTCAAAATACTAAACCAGGAGCTGGCACACTTAACTACTCTTACATTTCTAATATGTAACTTCCTTGGCCTATATGTCCAACTATTTTACTTCAAGTGATTTGGATGGCTGCCACCAGAAATATGAAGAAATATGGGAAAGAGTGGGATGTGGGGGAAGGCACCAAGACACTTTATCCTCTATAACTGTTTCTGACAGAACTTCTAAAACATTATCTCTTACCACCACATAGAATTCAATTTAGTATAGAATTCAAAGAACATTTAAAATACACATATCTAAAAGTAAGTAAGAGCTATAGTTAAATTTCATTTCCAGGAAGTAATGTTAGCATAGTAATTAGGAAATTTTATTATAATTTTATTGTAATAACACTCTGTTTTCAAGCCTTCATGGAACAAGTCATCAAAATAAATTTTTCTTTCATTTAAATAAGACAGGCTAAAACTAATGTTTATGGAAGATATACAATTCTGTCAAGGCTAAGAGATAATTTAGAAATTCAGAATTAAGGTTAACATACTTCAACAGTCTGAAATGATCTGCTTTGTAGCCTGCGAGTAAAAAATAACCCCGTTGCCTTATGAATGAGACTTTGCCAGGACACTACAGACATGATAGTGCTTTTCAGAAGTAAAAGGAAATGCCTCAGTGCTCTTGGCAACATTATTTCTCCCTTCAGTACTGCACAGCATGCTGTTTATTATTAAGGGTACAAAGCTTATTTGGTTTCTTTGTGATGAGGCTACAATCACTGAGCCCTTTACATTCCTTGGGATAAAAGGAATTTCACAAATTATTCAATAAATCTCCAATTTTCTATTTTTCAGTGCAATTTTTGTTATTTTCCTGCTCACCTCTGTATCATTATTGAGATTCCACAAATCCAGCCTCCCCATGCCATCCACACAAGCAAACAGGGCTGGGTGGGTGGGTGACCACATAACATCATAAACATAGTCTGAATTATCTTCAAATGAGTACAAAGGCTTGTTATTCTGAAAGGGAAAAGTTGATTCTTAGCATAGTCAAAATACAACATACATTCAATAGGTATATGAATAACATTTTATGATATTTAACTCAGTCTAGAAGAAGTTCCTCTTACTTGTTTCACTACAGAATTACCTGGAGTTATGAACTGAGAATCGACTATTGTATTGCAGTTTCTTTTTAACTTCTAGACACCACACTGTTTTAAAAAAGGAACAGAATATGCTTCAAAAACATTTGCCCATGAGAAGACTCTGGGAGGATGATAGCAATGGCAGTTCACTTTTTGAATTCTTTTAACGCTCCCCATAAACCCAAACAAAGCAACGACGATAGCAAAACCAAAGATTCAAAGACAATATGCACAACAAAATCAGGAGACAAAACTCCAAATATAAGTAGAAAGAAACTGGGACACCTGGGTGGCTCAGTGGGTTAAAGCGTCTGCCTTCGGCTCAGGTCATGATCCCAGGGTCCTGGGATCGAGCCCCGAATCGGGCTCTCTGCTCAGCAGGGAGCCTGCTTCCCTTTCTCTCTCTGCCTGCCTCTCTGCCTACTTGTGATCTCTCTGTCAAATAAATAAATAAAATCTTTTAAAAAATCATTAAAAAAAAATAAGTAGAAACAAACTTCTACCAATAACAGGCTTCTGTGGTACAAACATTTGTGCAGGAAGAAGTGTGGAAAGGCCCCGGGCTTCTGACAGCCAGAAAGCAGAACAGAAGAGCCTCATAGTTGACAGCAGATACTCACTGGACAGTGTCAGGGAACATGCTGAGTCTGAGAACAGCAGCAGAAACTGGGAGTTCAATGTAATTCTATTTATAAATAAGTGCAAGCAGACTCCAATGTGATATAAGTAAGGTCTAATGGTGCAGTCTGAGTTCAAGAAACTCTCAAAATTAACAAACCAAAGCTCCCTTTCAGGACAAAGTCTCACCGAAGAGAAAACTGCGAGGAGTAGAATCAGCGTTGTAGAATATAGCACAGTAGGGACAAAGGGAAAGAGAAGGCTCAGATAAAACTGGTGGAGAAAACAGAAAAGGCACATCTCAGAAAGTACAAGACTGAGAGAGGTAAGTATTTACTTTGCAAAAAACACAGAGGAGAAATCTTTAGCCTAAACTACAAAACTAGAAAAGCTATCCTCTGCCCATTCCCACCCTCCTAAAAGTAGAGAAAAACTAATTTCATTAGTAGAGAATAAGTGACAAAAAAGGATTTTGGTCAAATCCCACACAAAGTTATTGTGGCAGACCTTCAATAATGCTGTCATGACAGTTAAATGGAAAATGGTAGACAAGATGGATTTGCACATGCACAAGAATGAAGAAGGACCCCTCCTTCCTCATACCAGACACAAAAAGTAACTTAAAATGTACTGGAAGTCCTAGCCAAACAAAGAGAAATAACAGACATCCAAATAGGTAAGGGAGAAGTAAAACTTTCACTATTTGCTGATGACATGATACAGAAACCCCCCCAAAACAGCAAGAAATGATAAAAAAAAATCAGTAAATTCACAGGATACAAAATTGATGTACAGAAATCTATTGTATTTTTATATATCAACAATGAAGCAGCACAAAGAGAAATTAAGACAATAATCCCATTTATAACTGCACCAAAAATAATAAGATACCTAGGAATAAACTTAACCAAAGAGGTAAACAACCTGTATCCCCGAAACTATAAAACACTGATGAAAGAAACCGAAGATGACACAAAGAAATGGAAAAACATTCCATGCTCATAGATTGGAAGAGCAAATATTGTTAAAAATATCTATAATTAACCAAAGTAACCTACATATTCAATGCAATCCCTATCAAAATATCAACAGCACTTTTCACAGAACTAGAACAGACAATTGTAAAATTTATATGGAACCACAAAAGAGCCCAAATACCCAAAGATATTTTGAGAAAGAAAAGCAAAGCTGGAGATATCACCATTCCAGACTTCAAGTTATATTATAAAGCTACGGTCACCAAAATAGTATGATACTGGCACAAAAACAGACACAGAGATAAATGAAATAACAGAAGACCCAAGATAAACCCACAACTATATGGCCAATTAATCTTCAACAAAGCAGGAAAGAATATCCAATGTGAAAAAGTCTCTTCAACAAATGGCATTAGGAAAACTGGTCAGATACATGCAAAAGAATGAAACTGGACCACTTTCTCAAGCCATACACAAAAATAAACTCACAGTGGATTAAAAACCTAAATGTGAGACCTGAAACCATAAAAATCCTAGAAGAGAACACAGGCAGTAACTTCTCTGACGTCAGGTGTAGGAACATTTTTTCTAGGTATGTCTCCTGAGGCAAGGGAAACAAAAGTAAAAATAAACTATTGGGACTACATCAAAATAAAAATCTTCTGAACAGTGAAGGAAACAATCAAGCAAACTAAAAGGCAGTCTATGGAATGGAAGACAATATTTGCAAATGACATATCTGATAAAGGGTTAGTATCCAAAATATATAAAGAACTTATACAACTCAACACCCAAAAAGCAAATAACCTAATTTAAAAATGCAGAAGATATGAATAGACATTTCTCCAAAGATGTCCAGATGGCTAACAGACACATGAAAACATGCTTATCATGACCTATCATTAGGGAAATGCAAATCAAAATCTACAATGAGGGCCCCCTGGGTGGCTCAGTCAGTTAGGCGGTTGACTTCAGCTTGGATCGTGATCTCAGGATCCTGGGACTGGGCCCTGCATGGGGCTCCTCACTCAGTAGGGGGTCAGTCTGCTTATCCCTCTCCCTGTACCCCTCCCTCTGCCTGTGTTCTGTCCCTCAAATGAATGAATAAAATCTTTTTTTTTTTTTTAATATTTTATTTATTTGACAGACAGAGATCAGAAGCAGGCAGAGAGGCAGGCAAAGAGAGAGGGAGAAGCAGGCTCCCCGCTGAGCAGAGAACTGGATGCAGGGCTCGATCCCAGGACCCTGAGATTATGACCCGGGCTGAAGGCAGAGGCTTAACCTGCTGAGCCACCCAGGCATCCCAAATGAATTAAATCCTAAAAAAACAAAACAAAACAATACTACAAGGAGATATCACCTCAGACCTGTCAGAATGGCTCTTATCAATAACACAAGAAACCAGTGTTTGTGAGGATATGGAGAAAAAGGAACCTTCTTGCACTGTTGGCAGGAATGCAAACTGGCACAGCCACTGTGGAAAATGGTATAAAGGTTCTTCAGAAAGTTAAAAACAGAGGTAACCCTATGACCTAGCAATGGCACTACTGGGTATTACCCAAAGAATACAAAAACACTAATTCAAAGGGATATATGCACCCCTAGGTTTATAGCAGCATATATACAATAGCCAAGATATGGAAGTAGCTCAACAAAAACAACAAAAACATACATGAGTGTTCACAGCAGCATTCACAATAGCCCCAAATGGAAACCACTTAAACAATAACTAATGAATGGATAAACAAAAAGTGGTATATCCATACAATGGGACAGTATTTGTCCAAAAAAGGAATGAAGTACTGATATATGCCACACATGGATGAACCTTGAAAATATTATGTGAAGTGAAAGAAGCCAGTCACATACTGTGATGCCATGAAATGTCTATAACGGGAAGTTCTGCAGAAATAGAAAGTAGGTCATTTCCAGGAGCTGGGTGAAGGGAAAGGAGGAGTGACTGCTAACAGATATAAGGTACCTTTCCAAAATTTGAAAATGTTCTAAAATTAGACAGTGATAATAGTGCATATCTCTGTGAATCTAAGAACTGTACAATTTAAAAGGGTGAATTTTATAGTATATGAATTACATCTCAATAAGTTTTTTTTTAATTTTTTATTTTTTCAGTGTAACAGTATTCATTATTTTGCACCACACCCAGTGCTCCATGCAATCAGTGCCCTCTCCAATACCCACCACCTGGATCCCCCAACCTCCCACCCCCCGCCCCTTCAAAACCCTCAGATTGTTTTTCAGAGTCCATAGTCTCTCATGGTTCACCTCCCCTTCCAATTTCCCTCAACTCCTCAATAATAGGTTTTTTAAAAAAAGATTTTATTTATTTATTTGAGAGAGAGAGCAAGAGAGGGAAAATAAGCAGGGGGAGTGGAAGAGGGAGAAGCAAGCCTCCTGATGAGCAGGGAGCCCAAAGCAGGGCTCGATCCCAGGACCCTGGGATCACGACCTGAGCCGAAGGCAGAGGCTTTAACCCACTGAGCCACCTGCGTGCCCCAATAACAGTTATTTTAAAGAAAAGAGATAAAGTGAATTTCTTAAAAAGCGATAGACAGAAATTAACAAAGACATACCTATAAAGGCAGCCCCTAAAGAAGAAAACCAAAGCAATACTATAGAATACAAAAAATAACTCAAGAGAACTCTCCTAAAATAAAAGACAGCTTGAAACTACATATTTAAGAGTAGCCTGTGCATCTACGACAATCAACCCTTTAAAGAAAAAGAAAAAAAAAATTGATCAGAAAGGTTTTGTAAGGACAATTAAGGACAACAATGCTTTTTGCCAAAAGATGACAGAGTGATATATGTAAGGAAATCAAAGAAAACAGTGTAAATATGGATTTTATATACAGCCAAACTGACCTCTGTAACCCAACAGGCTCTTGTGAATATGAGAATAATGAATGCATCCACAAACACACTACTATAGTGTGACCAAAAAAACTGAGGAGATGTCAACGTAAGGACAGGCAGATACAAAGTGATTCATGAGGGTAAACTCTTATGTAATTGTAAACAACCTACAACTATACATAACAGTATGAACAATACAGTAAAAACACAAAATCCAGACTGTGAGAAACTCTAACAAGACAACCAATCTGGTTTCTTCTTCAACAAGGACGAATCGAGAAGAGAGGGAAGGAAGCCCTATCTTAAGAGAGGGGCTCAAAAGATGTGTTACTTGCAAATATATGGATCTCATTTGGATCGTGCTTCAAAAAATAAACAGTAAAAAAAATTTTTTTAATTGAAA